GAAACAATATATTGACAAGAGACAGCATACTATGAAAAAGGAAAATAAAAATATGCCCCACTTGCAGGATCCAAGAAGATTAAAATAGATATCAGCAACTGCTGCTAATCATAAAAAGAGAACACTTACTATAACATAGATAACAATACCGTTTTGCATGAAAACAAGCATAGAACATGAATTTATAAAACAAACAAAAACCCACATTGTGCTTAGCATCCAGTTTGTTCTAACTAACCACATCAACTACTCCGATTTGTGGCATCTTACATGCTTAAAGTTGCATCTTAAAGTAAACATATTAGTGAAAAAAAGTAAGTAATAGCCAATTCTGATAGTACCAATTATTACTTTTGAGCAGATTCTTTTGCCAAAGTACTCTTGCAGCGCTAAACATTGTATAAATAGATGTCTATAACCATGCTTAAGGACAGACTCACAGACAAGGCAAGATAATATACTCACTCTTAAAAAGAAAGGGATAGCAAAGATTATAAATATTCAAAGCTAGAATTGGAAACAATAGAAATGAAGAAACGATGACAAACCTGTATAGAATCCAGCTCAACCTGCCGCAAATTGTCTTCAACTCCCTTTGTATACTCCCTCAGTTTTACACCTTTAGAAAGTATGTTTGCAACTACCTGATTAATAAAGAATTCAATTTTTTTATAAAAGATTTTTCTTTTGACGTCTTCAAAGTACGGAGATAACAGCATAATGCAAACATCCAAAACAGTCGTAATGACAATTACACTGAAACCAGAGATAGTGTGTGCACAGCATAATGCAAACATCCAAAACAGTCGTAATGACAATTACACTGAAACCAAAGATAGTGTGTGCATCTTTAATATTTGACTAATTGATCAGATTACCCTGCCTACAAATGAACCATACGAAATAATTTCTAGTTCTAGATATTTACTATTGATTTTACAACAAGTGCAAATTGAGACAACTAATAAAATAAGTCCATCTGAATTTTTGAGACGATTAAGAATTGGAATGCATTTCATATGGTCTCATAGATCTCTTGATGCTTAAAGAACAAGACATTCAAATACATTTCAAGGATTCCAAGTTTTAGGATGACCAAGGATTGGAATGCACTTCGTATGGTCTCAAAGACCACTTGATGCTTAATGAAAGATAAGCAACCAGTACAAGTTGGTCAAATGGACCTTTGGGAAAGTGAAAAAGTAAAAGGACTTTAGGAGAATAGGTTCAAAATCCTATCCTACCCACCTACTTAAGATATCAAAATCCCTCAAATTTTGAACATTCAAATGTAATAGGTTTAAGCAGTTGTTCCATAAGAATAGTTGAGATCGCATAAGCTAAATCGAACGCGCACGAGTATATTTATTTTTAAAAAAAATTCTATAACCTTCCCAGAATAGTTGAAGTCGTGCTCAAGAAAATTAGATATCAAATAACCCAAGAGAGTGGTTTAATCACCAAGGAGGGTGGTCATAATTTAAATTTCTGAGTAGATATTTCATATTCTGGCAAGAGATGAAACCATTAGCATCTCAGTTTCAAGATTCTTCATGTATGAATAATGTACAATAATACCAAGTGATTAAGCACATAGTCACAGTTATATATTTAATGCCTACGGAAAAAAAAAAAAAAAAAAAAAAAAAAAAAAAA